CTGCAGCGAGGGGCAATGATACAGGAACCATGGGTCAACAAACCCACGTGGAGTTTACTGAAGGGAAAGGGAAGAAGAGAAGGGGGGTGTTGGCCAACCGGGAGCAGAGAGAGAGAGAAGAGGAGAAGAGGAGAAGAGGGGAGGAGAAGGGAGAATGAGAGAGGAGGGGGGGAGGGGGCAAGGAGAGAGGAGGGAAATGAAGGGAGAACAAGAGGAGACAGAGGAGGGGAGGGAGGAGGGGAAGGAGGGATGGAGGGAGGGGGAAGAGGAAGGGGAAGGGCTGAACATGTGGAGATGCTCACTTAAACGGAGAAATTTGCACATACATACTGAGTCCTTACATAGCCCCTTAGCGAGTGAGGTAGCCATGATGTGGCCAGGAAACCCAGGGCCCTTTGAGCTGCCTAAGTATCTGCCTGAATGCCGTATGCTTGTCCCACCCATTGTCGGGGGCGGGGTCAGCATTACCAGGTTCCACCCCATCTCACCTCTTACTGTTATTGAAAAGGTGGGGAGTTGGGCGTGGCGAGTTAGGGAGGAAAAATGCATTTATCAGTACAGCACATGTCCCTCACACGGAAGCGTGTTCGTTATTTTTATGCATGCCCACTGGTAATTTGAATGGGAATCGCCCTCCATGGGTTGAGCATTTGAATAGGGGCTGGTGGTACTGTTTGGGATGCTTAGGAGGTTCCGCCTTGCTGGAGGAAGTACATCAGTGGGGGACGTGCATTAAGCGTTTGCAGCCCAGCCCCACTTCTGGTCCCCTGCCTCGGCTTCTTGCTTCCAGTAAAGTGTGTGTGCTCTCAGTTTCCTGTGCCCATTGCTATGTCTCCTTTTGCTGATGTGCTTCCCCACCAAAGTTAACTCACCCTCTAGAAACCTGAGACCAAGTAAGCTCTCCCCTGTAGGTTTCATTGGTTACAATGTTTCATCCTAGCAACAGAAAAGTAACTGACTGCACCCCCCAAAGTTCTGAGATACCTTGAGTTGCTTTCCCGTTTACCAACAATGGCGTTAGGGTATTAACAAAAATAGGCCTTTGAGGGGGAGAATTGAGCACCTGACAGTTTGAGAAGTGAAGTTGGAATGCAATGAAAAATGCAGATCCTCGGTTTGCATGTCTGCTGACAGGGGATTGCAGCTGTGTAGGAACGTCTGGGCATCAACGAGGAAAGTGTCATAGAATGACACTTTCACAAGAAACTTACCCGAGGAAGCACCTGCCTTGCAGAGGACACTGAAAGCACAAAATATACCACCTAGGAACATGATCGAGTGTCTTACAGGGAAGATGTTCCGTCTGTATATAGAGTAAATATTGAGGAAGAGGCAGTCAGTGGTCAAAAGCCACAGTTGGTTTTTGAAGAGCACAGAGCCGATTTGTTGGGAAATTTCCTTTTTGAGTTCAGAAAGAGCAGTTGGCATCTTCGGCGTGCTTCTATCAAATCCCCAGGTGACCTGAGCCTTTTAGGATTTCTTTTTGCACTCTAGGTCAACTTCTTGGACATGGTGTTTGCTCTTCTCAGACATCTCTACCTCGCCCCACCTGGACACTTGCTTGCATTCAGGCTAGGGCATGGGATATAGTTCTGTGAGCCTTACCACTAGATGGTGGTGGAGGCTAAGCGCAGCCTCCTGCTGCCGTGTCACCAGGTGAAAGTTGAAAGTGGTCCTTCCCAGGAGTCCTGCTTTTTAGAGATCATACATAAAGATTGTTTTACGTCGTGCTGAGCACCGTGCTCTTCTGTGTGGCAGGAGACAGGTTAGTGTTCACTGATTTGATAGTTGGCTTCTTATGGAGTTGAATTTTGTGTCGGGGGGTATGCTTAGAAAATTGATCATCAGATTTAATGTGTCCCGTCTTTGAGTTTATTTTTCCTGATGTATTTTCCTATTGTGATGGTATGACTTATTGACTTAACCTGCACAGTCTCGTATATACATAGAAATTCTCTCTCATTCTCTCTCTCTTCCCCCTCTCCTTTTCCCTCCCTCCCTCCCTCCCTTCACTCTCTCTCTCACACACATCTTGTCTTGAATTTTTAAATTAGTTTGTCTTCTCAGGTACTGTGTCCTTGAAGCTTTGTCTGAGAAAATAAATACTGGCATGGTGTTTATAATGAGAATTAAGCACTTATGATTTGCTCTAGTCAATAGTAAGTTAGGCCAGTTTCTTTGAATACCAGCTTTTTTGGAAACTACTAGAATTTCACTTGGAGCCCCTACACTTAAGAAAGCATGACCGGTATGTCTTCTCATATGAGAGAATTGTCAGATCTCACCTACACATTTGGGAGGTATCCCTATTCCAGAATCGGGAGTCTGAAGCGCTCTAAAACCCATTGTGACGTCCCGGGTGCTGCCATGTCAAGGCAGAAGCACACTGCGCAGATCACAAAGTCAGTGTCCCCAGGGTGCGTGGGAGGCTGAACGTGAAACAATGGATGTGTGCTTACACTTTAGAAAATCCTGAAGACATTCTGTCGGCTATATACAAATATTCCCACACCCGACACCTCAAATGTGAAACCTTTCTGGTCCCAATGGTTTCAGATAAAGGCTTCACAGCCCATGTAACTCGGGAGCCCTAATTAATACTGTATTTCCTAGTTGAGGTCAAGCCATCAAATACCATGAATACTTTTCTTCACTGTGAAGGAAACACTGTATACGGCTCTCTGGCACTCATGACTCTGGCACTCATGCTGTCATTTCTCTTACTCCTGCCGCTATTGCTGTTGTATAAGTTGTTTTAGCTCTTGGTCCTAGATAAGTCATTTAGGGGGTATTGGTATAAAATATGAACTGCAACTTAGGTAGGTTTTATTATATGACTTCTTTCAACGAGGACGATCCTGCCCAGTACTGTTTTCTAAGTCACTGTTTGGAGGTATGTCATTGATTTAACAATATCATTTCAGACAAATGTGACCAACCTCACATTACAGTGTGCCTAGTAACCCTAGGGGTATCCAATTTAGAGATAGCAAGTGAGATTTAACATAAATATGGAAGTCTTCCAAATGGAAGACTTCTTAGAATTGGAGCCAGAATCACAGTTGAGCAGGAGTCTGGGCTAGAGAGTTGGCGAACTGCGGTGTTACACAGCGCCCGTGGTGCAGTAAAAACCAGAGAAGCCACGCCTGGTCTTCCGGTTCCAGAGGGCCTGTGCGTTTGACAGTGTGCACCACGGATGGAGCGTGTGGTGTTGTCCCTGAGTCCTCTGACCTGAAGCCGTGCCGTGGAGAAGGACAGGGAGAGAGGCTGGGCCAGGCTGGACTCAAGGCCTTTCCCAGCTGCAGAATGGCTATTCTGACCTTTCGTGGTAGCCGTACCTCATCCTGGGCGTTCTGGGGAAAGCGGGTGGAGATCTTCCGTCTGTTCCCATGAACTGATGGAAAACACACACCTGTGTTAACCTACTTAGTGTCACACGGGTCGGTGCCGGGGCTAGCTATGCCAGCGACCGAACAAGGTCTATAAAGATAAGTTGCTGGAAGGCCATTTCACTTAGAGAGTCTTGAGAGATGGCTATTTTAGTGACAGTTGTCGGATCTCCCAACTCCTTTCATGCGAACTCCTCTGCTAAGACTGTCACGCTGACGATGGGAGTCATCGTGCTGCTGTTCTTGAACCTTCCATTTTGCTCAGTTCTCCCAAGTTTCGCAGTCTTCTATTCATATTTCTCATACAGATATAATATTATAAATATGCGTTATTAATCGTATTTGCTGGAATTGACGTGAAAACGATAGTCAGCTCTGTGTGTGTGTTTTAATCTGCTAACTGCGGTGCTCCCTTTTAATTTCTTTGTGTACGTGATGTGTGTGTGCCCGTGTGCCGATGCGAATGCAGGCACGCGTGCGGCACGTACGTGTGGGGGTCAGAGGGCGGCCCTCGGTGTTTGCGTTTCTCATTCGTTCACTGCTGCAAATGCCCAGCTAGCCGGGCGGTAAGCATTTGGGAGCTCTCCTGTCTTTGTCTCCCGTGTTACCGTAGGAGAACAGGGATGGCAGGGGCACGCTCCCATGCCCAGCTTCATGTGGATTTACTCTGGTTCCTTTGCCCGCTAAACCATCCCCCTGGTCACACAATGTCTTTCAATCAGCACGCATATCGTAACTCCTCCCATTAGGGTTTTTCTGCATCTTCTGGCACGGTGTCAGAAACAGAGCAGGGGCTGAAGAGATGGCTCAGCCCATAAAGGCATCATTTCCAACCCGGACTCCCTGAGTTAAACCCGAGCGCCCGCACGGCGGGAAGAAGAGAGAACAAGCTCCGGCAAGCTGTTCTCTGACCGCCACACGCATGCTGTGGCACACACGCATCCCGCCCTCCATACACAGGATAAGTAAATGTGATAAAACTTTAAAATATGAACAGCAGATGTGAGCCTCGGACAGAACTAATACAGCTTCGAGAAGCAAGGGTACTTTTGAAAATTAAAAAAAAAAGTGTGCCTTTGGAGGAGAGAAAATCGCCCGGCAGTTAAACGACGGCTGTTGGACTTTTTGACCTAACTTAGTGAGCTACACGTTTCATCACGCAGTTGCGTAGTTAATTCTGATACTCATGCCTTACTGACACTATTGTATCAGTTTAATGCGTTGCTATTGTCATGATATCAATATAAAGCGTTATCAATGTAATGTATAATATATCAGTAGTCTCTCTGATACCCGTGTATCAATATATGTATTGGACATACATTATCTGGAGGAACATTAGAACTCACAGGCCTGGAGAATCCTCTATGTGTGTGCTCTCTGCAGGAGTGACTTCATGGCAGCAGTGAGCGTGTGACACGTGGCGGGTGCCCGCATTCCCGTGGCCGGGCCTCGGCCTCCTCGTCAGTTTGCTCCTTGAGCCCTCCCACCTCTGATTCATCCTACGCTTTCTCCTTTCTTAATGCTTTTCTTTGTTCCAATTTATGCCCCTGAATCTTACCATTCGTATGCTTAGGGGTTAAAAAAAAAAACAAAAACACATCCGTGGTCTTGGTGGGCTCCCGCCAGGCTAATTAAAAACAAACATTTATTTACACTTTCTACATAATTGATCCCAGCCAGAGAAGGGCCCGCTGGCCCTCGGGTCCCTACACGTCGGTGTAGTCGTAATAAATGCGCACTTCTGACCTCCGGACGCTTTGCAGGGACCGGATGCTCTCACTCCTGGTTCTTATGTTCGACTTCTTGAACAGCCTTCTTGAGAACGACCTGCACATGAAAAAGTAAATTATGGGGTCCAGGCACACGTTGCAGGCAGACAGGAAAAGCGTCATCTCTTTGCAGTAGTAGAGAACCTTGTGTGCCGACTCGTCCAGGAGCCTGTCTAAGTGGCTGAAGGAGAAGGGGATTCTGCACAGGTGGTACGGGAGGAAGCATGTGAAGAACACAGCCACCACCACCCGGATGCTCTGGTTATGCTTTCGCTTGCGGCTCGACTGGCTTATGAATTGCCTGCTGGATCTGTGGATGTACCTGGATATCGCTATGTAGCACCCGATGAGAATCACCAGCACGGCCACAAACAAGCAGCTGTCCACGTAGGTGACGGCCGTATGCCACTTGGCTCCCAGAGGGTTTTTGAGCCTCATGCAGTCGTGGATGTTTTCCCTCGTGGGCTGGCCGTTGGTTAGTACGATGTTGGGCAGGGACAGGATGGCCATGACCACCCAAACGCAAGCCGATAAAACCTTGGTGAAGGTTATGCTGTACATGCGAGAGTCGCCGAAGGGCTTCACCACCTTTAGGTAGCGGTCGACGCTGATCAGCCCGAGGAACACGATGGACGTGTACATGTTGGCGTAGAACAGAACCGAGGTGTACCTGCAGAGGATGAACTCGAAGTACCAAGGCCCAAATCCCGCGTCCCGGACTATCCGGAACGGGAACGTCATCGTCATTATGAGGTCGGCCACCACTATGTTTTTGAGGTAGAAGATGAAGCTGGTTTTATTCCTGATGTGGAAGAAGACCCACACGGCCAGGCCGTTCAGCAGGATGCTCGCCACAAATATGACCAGGTAAAGCACCGGCAGGACGATGGTGTCAAATTCATTGCGGAGGGTGGCGTTCTTTGTGCTGTTCGCAGAGTGACTGGCTTGGCTGTACAGCTCATCACCTGCAGACGGGGGAAGGATTCGCGTTAGTGCCGCTGCCTTCCTTAGGGCCAGACGAGTTCTGAGCGAGTTGTTGTCTCAGAGATTCTGACAACCACCCACGTGTCTCTCTGGGCCTCTGTTAAGTGTGTACTGCATGCCTCCGGAGACTGCAGAGGGTCTCTGGTCCTCTGGACCCAAGGCATTTGTGGACCCCCGACTTGGAGTTCACCTGTGAACTGAGTGTCCCCCGCCCCCATGAGCCTGAAGTGCTCTTCACGGCCAAGCCGCGTCTCCAGCCCTGCCCCCAACACTTACAGAAGCACCTGGTTGATGAGTGGCTAAGTAACTGGTGGCTTCCCCTTCCCTGCGTTTCAAGATCCTTGGGTCCTCTGTGACAGCCTGTCGAAAATGAGCGTACTATACCCCCACAAAGAGCCCTGGCGTTTAGTTCAGCGTTGGATGCTGCTGTTGCGCATAGAAGCAGCGCTACCTGAAGCAGAAAACTGAAGTTTCCCTTTACCAAAGCGACAAAGCAGAGCATGGAAATGATGTCCTCGGACACAGTCCGTCTGTCCCCTTTACCACTGCCCAAGTTTAGGGCTCTGCAGTCACCGAAGCCCACAGAGCACACTCAGAACCCTTCACCTTTGTTCCCTGAGGGTTTTGTAGGGACCATTGTTGGAAATAAAAGTGTGGTATTACTTTTTTCTTTCATTCAGAAAACAAAAGTCAGCTGTCTTCCAAAGTGAGTAAGTCCCGAGCAGAACTAGCTCTAACTGTAGCTGCTTTAGATCTGTTCTCAGTTGACTAGAAACTGAGCCGGGAGCAGGCATGGCACTACTGTAAGCAGCCTGGTCTTGGATCCCGATCATCTGCAGATACTGTGTACTATGTGGTGCACTGTTTTTTTTTTTAGTGAAATCTGTGTATAGTTGTCTCTGCAATCCAGTAAAAAAAACAAAAACACATTCTGTGTTTCTGTTAGTATGCACACATTTATTATCAAGAAATTTATCACGTAAAACTGTGCAGGCTGCTATTTTTGTTGTTACTTAACAAGGTTAGATTATACCTACTCTGCTTATTGTGAATTTGCAGGCATGCTTTGCTGCGTGTGTGTGTGTGTGTGTGTGTGTGTGTGTGTGTGTGTGTGTGTGTGTGTGTGTGTGTGGGCATCTGAGGTGTGCGTCAGTCTCCCGTGGGGACTGAGGGAAGTGAGGAAGCTGAAGATCCCAGTCTGTGCTGTGGGCCATCACTCCTCCTCCTGGGGTCACCCTGGTTTTCCCAGGACGGCTCCAGCCAGGAAGCAAGCTGCATGGTGACCTGTGTCCCAGGATAAGCGTCTCTGGGGTTGACCGAGCAGAGCTCTGTTGAGCAGTCTTTGCCTCCTTCCCCTCCTTGCTTTGTCCTCCACCCTGCCGGCTGGTGCTCTGGAAGCTTCCAGCCTCCCCAGCTCCTCTTGGAGCCACTTCCCTACTAACGTGACTCGTAGCTTACCGAGTCACGTTTCAGATGTAAGGGTGTAAGGAAGGTCACTTCTGATTTGCTTTTTTAAATTCCCACTAGTTCATAATAGTGACTTTAGGGATGAGTTTTGTTTAGGGAACGGCATGAATTTGGCTCTTACTTGCCTCCATGGCTGTTTATTATGTATTTATTGTTTTCTTTCTTTGAAGAAGTCGAACAGGAAAGGCAGTTCCGATGAGTGTAATCCAAAACAGGTTCTTAAATTGCCACCTGCAAATCTTAAGTGTGGGTTCTTTTTCAGGAGCTGGCTCCCCTTTCTGATAATTTCTCTCCCTTTCATTCCTTGCTGTGTTTTTAAAAACTGGTTTTCCCGGCCTAGATCTCCTTGTCCAGTAATTTCTACCTAGCTAGGCTGTTATGAGACCGATGAATGGTATTATTAAGCTTTACAAGTTAAAAATGCCTGATTCAGCTGCCGTCTCTGTCCCTGTTTCCAGCTTGAAATGTCACCCTGGCCATCTCACCGAGGCCCTGTTTAGATTTAATTAATAAAGCCTTGCAGTCTTGGCTGTTTCTGTATCAGAAGATCCATCCCAACCAGCATCTGGAGCCATGAGAAGCCTTAAGAAGTGCAGCTTCAGTGAGGCTTATATAGCTCTTTGAATTGGTTCACCCAATGAAGCTGTTACCTGTCACTTTCATCTTCCTGGGGGGATAGCACTCTGAGAAATACCTGAAAGCCAAGTAGGTTTTATTCAGGGTGAAAGTGCCTAGCTACTCGAGCGGCAGAGCTTACGAAGGAGCAGCTGTGTCATCTCTTGAAACGATGGCTGCTTGTTGCCGCAGTCGCACGGGTGTTGATTTGCAAAGCCAAGGTGAATGTCAGTGGAATCCAGGAGCTGTGACCTCCCGGGAGTGGGCTGTTTCAGCGGCTAGGAGTGGCCCCCTCGATCTGTGTGTGCCCGTTGTGGCTGAGAGGGACACACCCTTCTATCCCTGTGTTCCTGGTAGCTGCACGCCTTCTGAGCCTACATTGTTATCATACTATCCCAAGGCTTAATTATACAGACACGCTCTCTTATTAAATGATAACATGCCTAGCAATTATAGTTCACACTAAAGATAGTCTTCAAGAAGAATATCAAAGAAGTGTGTGCACAGGCTCAATCTTATTTAAAAAAAAAAAACTAACAAGATCAAACAAACAAATTGACAACCAAAGGCAAACAAAGCAGAAAAAAAAAACAAAAAACAAAACCTTGAAGCCTGAGTGACATCACAGTGGTTCATGGCCTGTCCACCCACGGCTTCGAGGCAGTCTGTCTGTGCTCTGATGGTGCTTTCTTCACGGCATTTGCCTTATTTGCCCATAACCAAAATTCATCTTTTGGAGCACTGACCTCCCGAGTTCCACAGGATAAGCCTACCCCTGGTTAGTACTGCATTCACAAATTCCAGATTTACAGATTAAACAAAGGAGAAGTTAATGCCTCTTCTGGGCTGTTTTTCAGAATAATTTAATAGTAGACAGCCGTGGTGCCTAAGACTGCCCATGGGCTGCTCCAGAGGCCTCCAGAGCTTAATTTGGAAAGCGGTGCCTGACTTGTTTGTGAACTAAGTGGGCGCCATGTTCTTCCCTGTCAGCTTTGGATATCAGGTCGGCTCCTTTGGTCCTTCAGGTATGGATGTAGGTTTACACCTCCATTATTCCTGCTCAGGAACACTGGTCATTGAAAGGGAAAGTCTTTGTCAGCTCCGTTTGGTTTCATCAGGCTATTTTTCCAGTAAGGAATGTGGCCAATTTAGGGGCCTCCTTTCGTGATTAGTAGCTTAGTAATCCATTAAGAAAAATTAGAAATTGCTTTTAAAACAGGAAGACTGACCGGGCGGTGGTGCTGAACGCCTTTAATCCCAGCACTCGGGAGGCAGAGGCAGGCGAATCTCTGTGAGTTCGAGGCTGGGCTGGACCAATAGCCTCCAAAACAATACAGAGAAACCCTGTCTCGTAAAAACCAAAAACCAAAAAACAAAAAAACAAACAAACAAAATAAAACAGGAAGACTGTGTTCTTACTTGCTCCTTGCTTACAAGCATGGTATGCCCTGTTTATTACGGGCTCAATATAGAGCGATGATTGAGAGGAAATAGTAAGTAAGAGCCCCTTTGCCGGCCACTTCTGCCTCCTCACCCCAGGTCCTTCTCAGTTCACTTTAAAAAATGTTAACTAAAGAAAAAATTTTTTTGGTTTTTTTTCTTTTTTGGTTTTTTTGAGACAGGGTTTCACTGTATTGTTTTGGAGGCTGTCCCGGAACTCGCTCTGTAGACTGGGCTGGCCTCGAACTCGCAGAGATTCACTTGCCTCTGCCTCCCGAGTGCTGGGATTAAAGGCATGCGCCACCAATGCCCAAGAAAAATTTTTTAAAACGTTTCAGTTAACTTAAAAAAATGGAACCTAGCCCCATGAATTATTTTTGTTGTTTCCTGTATGAGTGTGTGTGTGTGTGTGTGTGTGTTAGAGGAACCTTGAGAACTTACATATGTACCAAATAATCAAATGGGGAGAGTAATGCCTACTTGATTTGGGGTTTAACACATCTTTCTCGAATAATTCTGTCAATCTTTGTCCTTTTTTAAAGATAGTGTTGAGATTAACTGAAGTTTTAAATCAGCTACAGCAAGGTTAGTTTTATCTCAGTGATATTACCCTGCATGGCTGGAAGGAGAAATGGTTTTGAGTGCTCTAAGCTATCACTGAGCTTGCACAAGTCATGTTAAAACACAGTTCGTTTGCGTGGTTTCCTTTGCCTTACTTGGTAATCTTGCAAGCGTCAGGTTGAGCCCCATTCTCTAATCGTGATGCGCTGCGAGCAGAGATGCATGTCAAGAAATACTTGGGGACCGTTGCGGCACAGGCTCAGCAAAAGTTACTCCTTGCTTGATTTCTAGGGAGGAAACAAAACAAAGACAAAAAGGAAGGATTGGTAAGGAGTTTACATATCTAATGTTATTATTTCAGAAAAAAATACAGTAAACCAACAACAACGCATCTTTAGGCTCTGTGATTAGAAAACAAGATTGTGGATTTGAATATCCTTGCCACAAAAGAGTAACCTGTGTTAATACCCTTTTTTTTTTCCCAGTTTGCTGTGAAGTAGGAGCTATCTCTCCAGCCCATATCTAGGTATTTTATAAATGGTGATGCATTTAGCACCGTGCGATCTCTGGAGGTTCTAGTTTTGCCTCTAAACTAACCAACTGTATGACCTCCCATCAGTCCACATGACCTTTTTAGAATTGGACTGACAGCTCTGTCAAATCTCTGTCAAGACTCAAATGTGCGTGGATTTTTGTATCTTCCTCTTTGGTGGGTTTCCATTAAGGATTTAGTGCCATTTGAATGTTTGCTTTGCTAAATCTCTTTTGTGCTCTGTGGAAACCATATGCCTTGTCATCTCAGCATTTGGTTAGAGGAGAATTCTTTAACTGGGTTTGAGTGTTTCCTGTGTAATACATTTGTGTAAATTGCTCTTTTTTTTTTTTTTTTTTTTTTTTTGCTTTTCGAGACAGGGTTTCTCTGTATTGTTTTGGAGGCTGTCCTGGAACTCACTCTGTAGACTAGGCTGGTCTCGAACTCACAGAGATCCTCCTGCCTCTGCCTCCTGAGTCCTGGGATTAAAGGCAAGTGCCACCACCGGCTGGTGTAAATTGCTTTGTTGATCTCTGGATGCTCTACAGAAAGGCCAGCAGAAAGCATAGTTTAGGCAGGGTTACACGTTTTGAAAACTTATTTCCTGACTCCTCCTTTTGCAGTCAGGTCTGTCTTGAGTTCCTAGCCTTCTCCTAGGTGTTGGCCAAATAGAGAGGATGATGGCATCACGAGAACCGCTTTGCAAAGTGTGCACTTAAAGGGAAATGGGCCTATGAGCAGTTTCCTGCAAGGGAAGTCACATTGCTTCTTATGAAACGAAACCATGTGGGACTTCCATGCCCCCTGCCTGACGCTGCACCCGTGCACGAAGCTCATTCCCATGGACTGTCGCTCCCTCAAACGCACACTGTGGCTTTCCCTGTGTGTCTGCTGAGCTGGCAGGGGAAGAGCGCAGCTGCAGGGACAAGTGCGTCCTGGCGTGGGCAGTGAGTGGGGTCCTCCTTCCCATTTGCAACATTGCATACAGTCAACTGCTGGACGTGTCGGCGGACAGAAGAAACAAACTTTCCCTTCCGGTGTGGGGTCCCTTCCTCCCCATCCCAGAGCAGCTCTTAGCAAGTAGAGAACTCCCTGCTCCCGTGGCTTTGGAATACCCCTCGTACCTGGGATGTAACAGGTTCCTAAAGGAACCTTTTTTTGGGGGGGAGGGGGGTGTTACTGAAATGTAGATGACTAGGGTTTTTAAAACCTTTCTTCTTTGAGTGCTGGCTTTCTACTCTTTTTAATGTAGGCAAGGGGGCAAAGACTTACTTTTCACCACCATATTATTACTCTTCCCTGAAATGGGAAGCCACTTTAATAAGCGGATGGGGGCAGAAACCTCTTTAATGTTAGCCGTTTCTGTGCCCAGGCCACCGCAGTCTTTGCTTTCCTGGTTCATTGTCCTTAGGCACCATCGGGAGCCATAAGACAGACAGCAGCCGGTTGGCCAGTGGGCACAGAAAACGGAGCAGTCTACGCCATTTCCGTTTCACGGTTCTGACGGAATGTTTGCATGCAGAGCATGTGGAGAAGTTTTGTAGGTTCCTCTTAAGAAGAACACCACCATCCGTCCAGTGAAGAAAGATCGAACTGTTTGTCTAGATAGGCGTTTCATTAGCAGTACTGGAGCCGATGGTCAGCATCATTGTAGCTGCCCAGAGAAGGGAGGACACCAGAGGGCTGGCCTGCTTCCGAGGAGCCGCCCTAGGGGCAGTGGAGGGCATGCAGTGGTGCCAGAGGCTTTGGGATTGTGGGAAGGCAGTGACGTCAGGGAGAGCCCTGAAGCACTGACTGGACGCATCCTGTGGGAAGGTCAGAAGACAGAGGACCGGTCAGCGCCACCGGATGGAGTCCCATCCATCTGTGGGGATGCCTGGTAGCGGAGGGCAATGGGGCAGACGCCTGATGAGCCAGGGCTGAGTTTGGCGAATAGGTTTGGCAAAGAGGCAATTGGAGACAGTTGTTTAACTGTGACTGTTATGGGAAGGAGAAAGAGAAGGCCAGAGGTGGAGATGGGTATAAAAGCAGTTGGTGTCCGTTGAACGGCTTTTATGACTAGTGGGAGAGTTTGTTAAGCATACCGTTTAATGCTTATCATTGTGAAATTATATTTTCCCCGGTGTGAGTAAAATTAAAAAAAAAAACCCTAACAACATGTCCTGACTTCTAGCCATGGATAGCATCACACAAAAAGGGATTTGATTGACTTCCAACTTTGCTGCTTTTTAGCTTCCGGACTCCCCATTCTCCCCAGTGGAAAATGAGCACAGTTCTGTTTTGTTCCGGGAAATGAAAGAAAGGCACCATTTTATGCAGACGCCAGAGTGGCCGCGTATGGTAGGCTTCCCGTTGCTCTGGAGGGCGTAGAGTTTTACTTAGAGATGGACCGCAAGGCGCCAGGTGACATGGTTCCTTGCACTTTGGTTTGAGCCGAGACTGCTGTGTGGTTTGTGTCCCCAGCCCGATCTCAGGAACCGACCGGTAGCTCTCCCTTCCCTCCCACTGTCCCAGCCCTGTCTGTGAGCTTCCACACTGTCCCGTCTGGGTCTCAGCTTCCTGCCTCCCTGGTGCTCCCTGTGGTGTGTTCTGGCGCCCATAACTTGTTACAGAAATTGCTTCAGGTGTCGTAATGGGCTGTGTTCCAGATGAAATCAGTCAGTGTGTGGGGCTCCTGTCCTGCCTCCTCCTACAGCTCTCCTGGCTGACGCCTGATGAAACCCCCGAAGAATGTGGTTGCCCGTGGTTGCCCCACGTTTCACAGCTGTTCCGGCGTTAGACAGTGTAGGTGCCCACAGCTCTTTTCCGCCACCCACTGATACCGTGCCTTGGCTAGTTTGTGTTGTTTTTCTGCTGGCCCTTTTAAAATGAGGGCGTAGGGGAATGGCTCACATGTGCTCTGCCCTTAAGACTCTTGAACCCCGGGCTTGATTTTGCAAGTAGTTTTCTAGCTTGTCCCATGACCTGAATAGTTTGTCCTCCCACCCCTGTAGGAAGATACATTGAGAGATTCTAACTGCCTTGCCCTGCTTCAACATGGTAAAATAATGGGTACAGCTGGGATTCGTTGTCATGTCCGATGAGAGCTGGTCACAGTCCCTTCTGTATCGTGTTAGGGTCAAAACAAAGAGTGCTTTTGAGTGTTCATTTTATATTGGAGGAGGTTCTAGGCAGAGGGAGGGGTCTGTTTTCCTGCCAGACACAGGAAGGACTTTATTTCCCTTGGTGCGAGCACTGCATCCTAGGAGCATCCTAGGAGAGTCCGGATGGGATCTCGTCCTGGGGGAGCTGAGCCGAGCATCTGCAGAGTCTAGGCCACCTCTTCCTGGTGGGAGGAGCTTGTCCCATGGGTGCAGGCACTCCCTGGTGTACCCTCCTCCTGCTGGGCATTGCCTCTCCAGCACATAGGCACTCGATTGTACAACGCTGCTGCTGCCGCCTCTCTGCTGCAGTGAGAATCTCCTCTTGAATGGCTACACTGAAACTCTGGATGTTATCCTTACCCCCGTTTGTTCCTGACCTCCTTTGCGCATGACCGCCCGCCATCACTCAGAATGCTGTAAAATGACCCCACTTCTGCAGCCACACACACACAAAATACCATAGTTTCAGGAAATCCTAATGTTCATACGTAAGGGATGATTTTTTTCTACCTGGCTGCTTCCTGGGATTGCCTTGTGTGCAGATCATGCTGCTGGTAGACACCCGGGTTATATCTGAAGCTCACACCTAAGACTTTCCTTTCATCTCACAGGGCAGCTGGACTTGGCTCCGCCCTCCACTGTGGCCCTTTAGGGAAGATCTGGACCCTCATCCTGGTATTGAACTGTTTTTCTGACCAGAAAACACACACACACACACACACACACACACACACACACACACACACACACACACACACACACACACACACACACACACAAATGGGTGTCCTGCTCTCCTTCCTTTACAAGTGGTGGGACAGGGGCCAGTGTTGGACACAGACCTCTGCTCTCTGGGTGCCCAATGGGACAACCGGCCAGAGGTCTTCGCCATGTGGGTCTGTGAGCAGCTGCTGTGGGGCTCAGCCTTGTAGTCCACACAGCCCTAATCTGCTCCCAGACTTGTTGGGTTGGATCTCCGCCTGGGTGGGGAGCGGCTTGTGAGAGCCAGGGAAACTCCTCCCTGGGCAGGAGCAAGTGTGGCTCGCCAGGCCACGGCTGTGGGCCTCACAGATTGCATCACTGCCTGGCTGGTTGCAGCCTGAAAGGTGAGTGCCTGGGAAAGGCCTACTCCCTAAGTGTGGCTGCTCCCGAGGGACGTTTTTACAGATATTGGTGGCAGTGGCCCAACGTGACAGAGTGCATCTCTGTCTCTTTTTCTTGTCCTCTGCTTTGCAGTTCGCTCCCAGGAAGCTCATGCCTCTTAGTTTTTAAGGCTTTTATTCGAGTAGGTTTGGACTTTTCTTGCTGGAGAGTGTCAAGCCTGCCAGGCATTCAGGTGTACTGACGGGCGGGCCTTACCCTGCTGTGGTAAGGACACAGAAGCACCGGGTTCAAGGCCTCTGTGCAGGGGGAAATAAACATCTCCCATAAATCCTGGAATCATATTGTCTAAGAACCTCTTCCAACGTGATGGGAGGGGTAGGAATGAATAGGGATAGTTCCTGAAAGCTAAGAAAATCACACAGCTGTTAACCTCACTGGCTCTAAGTCCCATCTTTTTGTAATGGCATTAGGTCACCATATTTAAGCTTGATGGTATTTACATTCAGCA